GCATTCCTGACGGTGCCAAGGATAGGGAAAAAAAACCACCCAAACCTTTCTGTTTTTCAGCATGCCGCTCCCCCGCTCAAATGATTTGTGATCTTCTGTTTTGAAAGGGAAATGAGAGGCTGGTTGTTTTTAAACCTCACCTTCTAAGTTCACACACTTCATGCCTTGGGTTGTGCTGTTTTTTAAAGCTCTTCATGGACACACGACACTCGTGAAGAATGTCTTTGTGGTCATCGTATTTGGTAAAATTTTGGCCTGTGAGGTTTTAAAGCCATCCCTTACTTTTATATAGCTGTGAGTGTATTGGAAGTGCTTGAAAATGTCTTCTGTTAATGCTAATGCCATCCTCTGAAGACAAGATAAATTGTTAACTGAGGAGACTGATGGTAGGAGCTCGTCTGAAGCACGTACCTTCCGAGGCCGGTAGCTCTAGGCTTAGCTCCTCCGTACTCTGGGAGGCTGCCCCTGGCTAGATGTGGCAGCTTTCTCTGTGACTGCTCTAAAGCTACGTGGTAGCAGTACTCTTACGAGACTGTTTTGTTCGTTCGAAGCCACTCAGTGACAGTTTCTTACATCCTTAACTTCCTCGAGGCACATCTAGAAGCATACCTGTTAAATGTTGGTTTCAGTTAGCCAGTAGATAAAATAATTGGAAAAATAGCGGTTCTGTTACATTTGAAAGCTTAAATATAGAGTGAACATTGGTGTTCTTTTGCTTTATTGTTACTAAAAGCCGTTTTAAGACCAGTGAGTCAAGTTCTATTTAAATATTTCCTCTCAATATATTTTCCGGAATGCTACCTTCACATTGAAAATGAGGTCGTGTCGTGTAGATACTTCACGTCTTTTCAGAATGATGTTTGTGTTTGCTTGTTTACTCGACAGCTCTTTAATTAGACACCTAATGTTATGGACCCAAGTAGCATGGGGAAAGGATTTATCTGCCTGGAGAGCTGAGGCTCACCGTTGCCATTCTTCACCTTATCCTGTCCCTGTATCAAATCAAATCAGCATCCTAGAGGGCAGTTCGTCTGCCCTGTCTAAGGATGAGAAGGACCACAGACGTGCGGACCGCAGATTGCCATGCGTGATATTTTTCCTAAGCGCTAATTAAAACAAGCTTTATCAACAGTGAACCCAGCTGTTAGAGTTAACTCCCTTTACGGTGGCT